GATGTAATTTTAAGATTCTTTTTTAAACTCTCTGATGAGTATGTTTTTCAAATTTTAAGACTTTTTTTGCCATGTCATAAAAGTGTGACACCCAACCAAAAAGGCAACTTAGTGACTTCATCAATGTCACAGTGATGTTCTTTACATTTACAACCTCTCAGTTGCACATTGTTACTGTCTGAGAGCTGGTCCTTGGGCACCCCCACAATCCTGCTTTCTCTTTCTCAAGAGCATGTACTCCTCCACCTTGTCCCCTCTGCCAGGGTCTCCTCAGCAAAGCCTTCTCAAATATTGAATACTGCAAAGACCTCTGAGCTCAATGCCTGAGCCTCCCCTGGTTCCATGGACCCTCACTCACCCTGGCCAGATCTGTGCAGAAGTAAAGGGAAGGATGCAGGATCTCTTAAGCAGAGAATAAAATAGGTGTCATCTGCCATGGAACCAAAGCTAACGGGCAAAGCTAAAGGCCTGTCTGTGTCTTGTGTGAACACTTGTGGGATGAGAGCTGGGAGCAAGATCAGGTAGGTTTTGTTTAATCTGCTCATCCTTTTGCGTTAATGCTGTTGTGCCACTAGTTTGATTTATAAGTAATAATGCTTGTCGAAAGGAAATTGCTGTTGTTTCTGGCCATGTATAACTCGTCAAAATTAAACACACACTTTGCACTAGGGATGCTGTCACCTCTGCTGCACCTCGTTAGGCAAATTGAATTCATAAAATCTTAAATACTGTTGGGCCTGAGCTTTCCTCAACCACAAAATCCAAGCCACCAAATTACTGTAATTATCGTCTTACAGTTGGGTTATTTTTTTACTGGGAGTGTGTTTCAGAACCCTTCAGGTGTCACTGCATTATATCTCCTCTTGACTGACTTGCTGTGGAGGCATGGAGCACAGTGATGCCTTTCCTCTTACCCCATAAGAGCTGCAAGCCTGGCCTGGCTTTAAACATGCCATGGAGCTACTCTGCACATGCACAGCTTTACCTCCAGAGGTGAGGGTTTTGTTGAACTTAGGCTAGAGCTGCACAAAAGCCATATACACTGGTCTGGGGAAGTGAGGGTAACAGTGATGTCCATGGATTAAGGAAGGAATTGTCTTTGTGCACTACATATATGTATATATATATCCTTGGTCTATCTTAAAAAAATAGAATTTCAATTTAAATACCTTACTTCTAAAAAGGTAGTCTTTCATATGTATGGACATTCCAACATGAAACTGTCAGGACAAATCCCACTAAACTAATAAAAAATCAGAGTAATTTAGAATGAGAAAAAAAAGCATGGAAGCATATACACATATAAAATCAGCTGGCATAAATTCTCAGACTACACATGTTAAAGGTACAAGTTATGATGTTGGTTTGCGCAGACTTTATTTTTCCTTGTGCCCATTTGTGCTAGTTGTGGGAAATAACATATAAAAAAATGAAAAAGTCTTTTTCACTCTGAGAGTGATCAAACACTGGAACAGATTGCCCAGTCAGGTTGTGCAGCTTCCACTCCCAGATATATTCAACACTCATCTAGACGTGGTCTGGGGCAAACTCTTCTAGCTGATGCTGCTTGAGGAGGGTTATTGGACTAGATGACATCTAAGCTGTGATAATGACTAATTGAAAGGACAAACTGAAAACCTTGAGGAGGCTATATCATATACTATGATTTAGGTTTTCATGTTTGTTGAAAAATGGTACTGTTTCACCTAAATTTTGTCTTATTTCCCTCTATTTTTATATTCTTTCTCAACTGGAAACTGAGAAGATCTTCTTGTAGAAATTATTTTAAGAAAAAAAATTCCTAAGCTACCAGTGTCACAGTTTGAACAATGTTCCACCTCACCCTCAAATGATGAAATCATATCTTGTAAGAACTGGGTCAAATCACTTCAATGTTAATTGTATTTAGAACATTGGATTTGACTTCCAAAGTACAATGCTGAAGGCACTGAGTAGACAAATTACTGAACTAAAATAATTTATTGGCTTACCTTTGAGAAATTTTAATAACTAGAAATATTAATAATTAATAATGACCAATAGTAGTCAGCTAGTTTGTCTCTACACATTTTCCATGGTCATTTCCACAGTCAGCATTTGATTAACCTGAATTCATTGACCCTAAAGTAATTACCCAATCATTATGAGACAACAAAATTAGCTTCAATAATAACTACTAATCAATATAATCACTAGTTCAGTATTGTTCACATTAATGATCCAACATTCAAACTTGAGTTTGCTTAATATCCAGGTTTATTAATCCTTGTCTGCATGCTTCAGGATACTATATTCATAAGAGGATGCTTATATTAAATATCCATTCCTTTAAATGTCAGTCCTTTGTGCATGACATATTAAATTTTCCTGCCTCACATTTACATCTCAAAATGTGTATTGGTCAACGTCCAACAATGAAAATTAAGTGAGTACGAGCAAGCAGATTAAAATTCAATATATAATTACACTTACTCTCAAATTCCTTCTGACATAATTCTGTAGCTAGACAGTGTAATCAATGATATTTCAGACTTCATCAAATCAACAGAACTACTGACTTATGGATGAAGACAACTAACAATTTCATACAAGAGTTTCTTGAACCCCCTATTTTTGTAAATTACGATAAGGCTTCTCATGCAAAACATTTGTTAGTTTAACACTAAGATGCACTTCATAAAACTAGGCATTCTTGAATGACGCTGATCTTTCCTCCCCAATGAAACTTCTTTGAACTGAGCTACAGTTCAAAGCACCACATTTCTTCTACCTGATTTCTCCAAGAACTACAAACATATCCCTTCTTGGCTCTATAAAAGCTTAAGCTATTTTGGCTATATGGACTTGTAGGATTCTATGTTTATATGGTCAAAATGCTGCAATTATCTAATGGAATTTTGCTTAATAAGTCTGAGTGTAGTTGTTAATAAATTTTAAAAACTTTATTATCTAAAATATTTCTAATGTCTTTTAAATTATGTTAAAGTTACATATCATCCTTTTACATGTTGCTTATGTCATGAAATTGTTGATTGTTGAAAGTTATTTACTTATTTAATAAATTCCTTATTTAATGTTGTTTACATTCAGTGTTTTCTAGTTTAAAATTTTAAAAGTAATTTTCTATACAGAATGGTCTTATAACTCACACTGGCTCTGATCAAAAAAACCTTAGTGTTTTCTCTGGCTTCCCCATTTTTATCCTACTTCAGCTCTTTTTCATCTCTTATCTGAAGTAATTATTCTCGTTTCATATCTAGTGAAGTCATTACTTATAAAAAATACTTTTATATAATAATAAACCATCACTTGAAACCAAAAGTTTATTTTTTTTACATTTAAATTTTATTTTAAATCATGAATCCTTAGACAAATATATCTAAAAATACTATTAAAAGTATTCTTATTTTATGCTAAAAAAGGCTGTGTTCTTTAGACTTAATTAATAAGGTTTGGATTTTAATCTTGCTTTTAAAAATACCAAGCAGTATTTCTCTATTTCCCTTAAATGTATTGTCTTAATATAACTATCCCATGATGTTACAAGGATTCAGAACAACTATGACCATGTAGGTGCTATCAGAATGAGGGTTTTGGTTTTTTTTTTGAATGGTAAATATTTGATATTTAAGCATGTGAAATGTGAAACACTTGGGAAATAAGAGGGATTTAATTATGCTTGCTAGGATACAGAAATAATATAAAAAACTCGCTTCATTTAGCCAGTTGTAGACTACAAATGCTAAGAAAATTTACAGCCTTTAAAAAAAAAAAAGGCAAAAAGCCCAACACACTGAATATAAGGCAAATAAAATATTAGGAGAAGATATGAGTTTTCTATTTTTTGCAACCTCTATCAAATTATTACTATTTGAATTAGCTGTGTTAATTAAAATTATAAATTAATTTTCATTCTTTGTTTCAAAGTATTCTCTTAAATTGCACTGTGAATCATGGTCCAATCAGCCTTAGAAAATATATTTCAATATAAGTTATTACAACAACGTCTTTAAAGTGATTTCCACATTCTTGTATAACTTTGTGGGCCTCATTTATACTATATATTTATTACATTTTATCTTTTAGACTTACCTCAAATGATACTTGTCCTCCAGATGTATGAAAACAGCCATTTGAGGAAGTTTCTACTATTTTCTAGACAAAACTCCCCTCATGTTGGTGAAAATTTACCACCAATCAGATGCTGTACTAGAAAGAAAGAATCTGTTAACCAGCTGCATTATCCAGAAGAACTTTCTATTCCAAAGCTCTTTCCTTTGTTAGGCAGCTGCAGAGCTGGAATTCAGCATGCCAAGGGGAGCCGTAAGTGGCAGCAGGGTTACAGGTGCATAGGAGTCACTTGGCAGCTCAGCAGTGCGTTCCAACAGCACCACATTAGCATCCCTTGTGGACCTTGGAGGATATCTGGGGAGGTTCCTTCATGTGTGGACAACACTATGTTACTCTCAAACCCAGAAACACCTTCCAAGAGGTGGCTCCTGCTGAGCCTCAGCTGAGTGAGGAATAGCTTGCCACCCAGAGAAGGCATTGTCATGGTTGCAGGTGCTGGATCACCACTGCCAGCTCACTGATGACTGCTCAGATATTACAGTCTAGGTTGTGCTAGTAAACCACCTCTCTTCTCAACAGGAGGCATGAGTTAGCAGTTTCCACATCCCAGAAGAGATACAACATTAGCAATCATCAAGGACAGCAAGAAAGTGATTCAGAAAAAGTTTGCAGCCAGAGGAGACAAAGGCATGAGGAACATGGCACTTGGATGAGCTCCTGTGGGCATTCTGAAGGATATGTTTTGTCCCCAGGATTGTCAGAATATGATGGGCATACAACTTAGAAAGATTAGAAACAGCAGACATTTTAAGATAGGATGTTATCATTTCGAGAAAGACTCATTATTTTTGCTTTATACTTTATTTGCAGAGGAAATGCTCTATTAATACCCAAGGTGTTTTAATGGATTGATAAAATATGAAGCATAAAATACATGTTCTCGAACAAAAAGATTTTCTCAGTACTGATATTTTGTCTTCATTTATAATTTGTACATTTCCAGACACAGAGTAAAGTCTCTTGTGGCAGTAATCATCTGTGAAAACAAAAAAACAATGCAGAAGATGAGCTATTTTTTTAATTGTGAAGGATATTACAGAACTTCCACAATTTCTAAGCACAGTTTTGTTTTTAATCCTTCTTATTCAGATGGAAAAATTAATGTTTTAAACCACAAAAATCCATTCAGCACTATAAAAGAGAAGGTGAAAGCACCTTACAAGAATGTACAATACAAATATTCCGAAAGGTGATTCTGAAATAGAAGTTTACTCACGATTTCTAATGTATTTCTAATTGTATTTTTTAGTACAGTAAATCTCACTGTAAACAAAAAAAAGTGGTATGTTAAGTAACATTCTCCCCAGAATGAATCAGCTGCAAACTTCAGCAAAGAATAGATGCAGGATAGCTTGTGATAATATTAAAAAGTACCCTCTTGTCTTTGGAAAGATGTGCTGTTCAGGTAGGGTCCTTACATTACCACAATAAGTGATATGATCATTCTGGAGGTAGAAATTAATTTCTTCCAGTGAAGCGCTCGGTTAACTTTTACTATAACCCCATATTCTCCCTCTCCCCCAACAGTAAATATGTCTCATGTGGATCATGCTGACTAGGAGCAATGTTGTTTCTCTCTCATCACAGATGAATTTCTTTGAATTAATCTCCCACCTCTCATTTGCAAGTTGCAAAATCCTCAAACACAAACCCAAAAAACCCCACGGTTTTATTTAACAAACTGCAATGAAAATTAAATAGCATCATTAAGATATCTGGATATCCACATCAAGTCAAATGCAATTTGAGTTTTCTTCCTATTCACTAACATATCAGACCATTTGCTACCAAAAGGGCGTCTTGTTGCTGCTTGGTTCTTCTGTTGTGTCTCAGTAGCCTTAAAAGAGCCTATATCCATTACGGTTACTTCAGATCTATTTTATCTGATTAGTACAATCACTTGCCCTGAGTCAGAAACAGAAAATAAACTGACTCTGGTACAAATGCTGAAGGACAGTACAGACAAAAAGAAAAATAGACCTGTCTGCTGGAATCTGTAATCCTGCCATCAGTATAGAGCTAAGAAGCCAGAATGCATGTACAGAGGCAAAGATTTTCCTATCCAAATAGCCATAAAAGACATTAATTTAAGGTTATGGTATTGGACTCATAATAAGGGGGCAGTAATCCAATTCCTGAGGCTGCAACAGGTTTCCTGTGAGACTGTGATAAAGCCATTTATTTCATAGATTTGGGAATGCGTTCCTAGTCTTAGCCTCCAATTTTTTCCTAACAGTAACTCTAAGAAAGAAGATAATTGCTTAAAGATAGGCCTAAAGTACTAAAGTACTTTACACAATCAAGGTGTTTGAGCTGCATGTTCCCAAATGAAGACAGCACCACTCTTTTTTCCCCCCTCATCAAATCTCAACAGACTTGTTACCTACCATATTCCCATTTTTACTTCTGTGAACATTCTCCCTTAGTATAGATAAATTATTTAGTACAATTAATCCTAAGCTTATTTGGGTTGTTCTTGTCTTTCAGTACAGAAAATAATGGTGTATCTTTTTCATTTCTTATAGTACAGTGAACTTGAGCTCATAAAAAAATAGCAGATACCATTAAATTTTGTTAGAGGACTCTCTCCCAAAGTCTTATGTATCCTGTGAGATAGGAGGGAACCAGTGAGGAGTGGGTTAGAGGATAAAAAAGTAATAATATCATTGTCCCTGATAGAGAAGAGCCTGAATTCAATGTGGGAACAGACAGAAGCAAAAATCTATTTTATGGCATCCCTTGCAGTAATAAAAATTGCTGTTGGAGGCCACCTTCTGAGATATTGCTAAAATAATTTCCTGTGATCTTTGAAGGTTGTTTCTGTACAGATATATATACACACCCAAAATACTCTATACTGGAGGACAAAGTGATAATAGAACAAAAAAAGACTTTGAAGTTTAAATCCTGTATCTAAAATTCAAAAACACTATTCCCTTTTCCAGCAAAGAACTGTCCTAAAAAAAATCCCTAATCATACCAGACTCACATCTTTCTTCAGAAATAGAAAAGGAATAATGAACTGTACAGATATTTTATACTCAGTAAGTAGTTCAGACAAATAAGAAATGACATAAACCTTAAAAATAGTTTGATTAAGCCATTAAGATGAAATATCTCATCCATGAAACTGTGGGCATAAAATTTATTTTGAAATTATTCTATGAGGCAAATGATTTGTATTTTTTTCCCAGAGACTTTTGGTTAAATTACCTCATGGGTTTTTTTGGCACTTAAGGTAGCATGAAGACAAGATTAAAAAAGGAATGTAATGGGTTTTTTGTTTTTGTTAATTCCATTAAATTAGTCAAAGGTATTTATTGTCTGGGAATGTCAGAAGGAGCAGTCTGTGTCTGCCTACAGCAAATTTTCTTTCCCGATCTGCCAGCAGTCCCCAGACCTGCCAAACCATTCCATACCTAGGGTAGATTTCAATACTTATGTCTGCTGTTGTTTTGGCAGGCAAAGCTGGGCAGGCTGCCAGCAGATAGGTTGTGCCGATGGGTGGTAGTCAGAGACGAAGTGTTGATTGCCAATGTTCATGGCTACTCCAGAATTACAGTTTAGAAAGTAGAAGCAGCAAAAATAAAGAAAAATCACCAAACCCTGAGATAGGTCCTCTGATGAAGTGGCTGGTGCCATGATAGAAACATGGTGAGAAATAGACTCTGCACTTCATAATTACTGCTACTGTGAGCCCTGTGGAGACACAGATCCCCAACAGGACTTCAGAGACTTAAGAGCATGCCAAGTGTGATCTCTAAACAGGCCCTTCCAGGGTGAAACCCACTCATTATCTCCTTGGTATATTTGTCAGCACACAGAACAGAACTGTCACCACATTGGTAATTCTGAGTAGCTCAGAACTCCTCCATTCCTCAGCCTGATAAGGCTCTTCTACCATTCCTGGTATGCACACAATGCTCTAAGCGCTTCTGACAAAAACATAGTAGCTGTGTCCCCCTTTCCTACAGTTTCCAGGGAGCAGAAAGAGTTGGATTGTCCCACAGTGGAGGAGGAGGTAGTAGCTAAAGGTGACCAGGCACAGGTAACATCCCTCAGGAGTGGGTGATGTTCCGAAGCACTTAATCAAGGAAGGCAGAATCAGGTGCAAGCATTGGAGGGCATCAACAGCACAGCATGCAGCAAGTCAGAGCTGGGGCCAGTCAGGAGAAAGATAAGATGGAGCTGAGAGGCAGGACTGGAGCTACAGCACAGGTCTGAGAGTTCAACCAGGAGGCAGGCTGCTTACAGTGCAGGTCCCAGGTCCCACCAAGAAACATAGACGGGGCTGGAGACAAGTATACCTGCAGCTCAGCTCAGAACTGGAGGCGCAGGGCTGAGCTGAAATTAAGCTCCTGGGCCCACAGGCAGAGGGTGTGAATGGAGATCCCAGGTGTCTGGTTTATTATCTCAGTACCTTCAGGCCCCTGGCAACACTACCAGAGTGACCAGGAAAATCACAAATCATGTGATATGATGAAAGACTTCTCAACAATTGGGATACTACATTAAGCACTGTTACATATTCTTCAGAGTGGTGAATCAATGTAGGATTTTTTGATCCTGTTTAAATCTGTACTGTTTGCAAAAATAAGAAGAAAGCCCCAGTAACGGATTTTCTAGAGCTGGAGGGAGATTAATTCTACTTCTCAAACCCAGTCACAGTTTCAACAATTAATATAAAACCTCATGTGTTTCTCTGTGAACCAAGATGTTGCTTGGACCTGACTTGGGCAGAACACAATCCATTCAGTATTAATTTTGCCGATTCTGAATTCATGCTCCAGACAAGGGCATTTTGTGCCACGTGACCCTTCCACCCACAAGAGTTCACACTGATCTGTGTGAACTCTTTAGTCCACATAGATAAGCTTCAGAGATTAATTACTCCCATACCCTACTCCCAGTTTTGGGATGGGTGTCCTGGAATTGACACTATGTGTATCAATCCATGGGGTTTAACTCAGGAGCTTTTCTCGCCCCGCTGTATAATGTAGATGTAGAGAGGGGTTGAAGAACAGGAGGAACTGCATTTGCATTGTGGTTTACTCCACTGTGAGTACTCAGAATGTGGCAAATGTGGAGATTCAGAGTCGTTTTAACAATAAAAGGAAGGATCAGCATGGGCCATGGACCATGAGCCAGTAGGTGCCCACAGGCTAGCCAGGTCCACACCTTTCAGCTGCCCTCGGAGAAGGAGATTAGGTAGTATTGTTTGAAGCTTCTGAACCACTGTAATTCATCCAAGGTACATATTGGTTCTCTTTTGAGGTACCTAGGATTTATTTTCTGTCCTCAAGATTTTGTGGCCCCTAGTATTTCTAGAACATGTTCTTCTTTGTGTTTATAAAAGAGGGAAAACTCACGTCTCACCAACATGTCCAACCATTGCCAATGCCCACCAGAGCAGAAAGTATTATTGTTCAGCATGCATTGCCCTTGCATCTGGGATTTTGAAAGAGTACACCCTTCTTTTTAGTAAGGTTACTTTCAAATTAGAAGTATAAAAATATATCTGTAAAAAAAAATAAATAATCACTATATTCGGATTGCCTACTTTTCTTATCCTTTTGTATGTTTGTGTGGAATGTGTGTGCATGGGTGATAAATGCAGACAAACAATAAAGCTTACATTGGTGTGGTTGTAGCTCTCACTGTTTTGCATGAAGCCAACATGAATCTTTAAAGCCTTATGAGACAAATCAAATCTGCATATGAAATTAGGGTAATATCAGCATTTTCTTTTGACTCTTCAGTCCCTTCCACATCATTTTGTAGTGAGTATAAGCTTTAAAATTCAGCATCAGTTATGTTCCTCAATCAATTCATCAAAAGACAAACTCTTCCCTGCATTTTCCAAAAACACAGCTGTGGGAAAACTTTTAAAAGACAAATCATTCTGTTTTGCAAGTGTAACAGAATGGAATTTCGTACTGTGGACACATGCAAAATTACAGGTAAATTATGAAACTA